CCCCAAAACCCCAAAACCCCAAAACCCCTACCTTAAAAGGTGGTTTTGAACTTATATAATTATTAGTAAATTAAAAGGAATGGAACCTTCACAATTCTATCAGTCGGTACATCAGCATTCGTTATGGAAGAGCTCTTCTCCTCCATCACTATCATTTTGCAGGTGAGTGTAAAATTACAAATGGAGAGTTACAGAATATCATAATTTCTGGCAATGCACGACTTTCAGCATAATTATTAGACAAAAGACATTTTAAGATTTTGAGGAACTTTGTAATTAATTAATTAATATGACTTTTATCGATACATGAGCCATTTCAGGATTATCTATAAAGTTTCATAAGAAATATTTAGATAAATCTACATGAGAATGTAGACAAAATAAGCTTTGTTATTGTAGTAGTATTTATCTCATGAGCCAGTATTAACACTTGAGTTACAATAGGCCAAATGTTATTCAACACATTTCCTGTATTCAGGCATTTTTATTTCTTTTGGAATCAAGAATTCTGTTAAAAAATTTCTTGTAAACCTTCTTATCAAGACTCACAAATCGTATTTTTAACTGTGTTTCATAAGCATGAGTTGTACAATATGCCCCATTGCTGCTATTTTATTATCTATAATTTTTTAATTTTTATCATTAATGATATAGCTAGCTCTAGGCAAATTCAAACAAATTTTGGTGAATCTTGTTTTCAAAATTTCTGGGAACTTAATCTAGATCATATAAGATCTTTCAGCAGGGATATAAGAACCTCATTGCTTTAATTACATCTTGCTTATTAGTATCTTTTTATCACTAACAATGGTAAATTTTAAGCTAGAGAATGCTATTGTAAAACTGATTATATTTCCAATCTATTTATAATAATCTGCTTAGTCAATATTTAAAAATACCAAATTTTTCTAGCTTTTACATTCCAAGGAACAGCCCTCAAAGAATTATCTTAAAAGTGATTACTCCCAGCCATTGAAACAGTGTCTTCTTGATATTTTAGAAAATTTATTTATTAGAATACTGACGTTCTTAATGCTAACCTTTATTTTATAGAGATAAATCCTCTGATGCTTGAAGTACTCAATCATTCATGCTTCAAAATAAACAAAAGGGAGGCAGAGATCATGCAAGATCTATTTTCCCTGTATTCTTGTAGAATCTCATGTATCATAGAGTCCTCCATCAAGAAAAATAGGAAAATTTAAGTTTAATGTGAAGAATCTGATCCAAGAGAGCAGGATGAAGCAATACACAAAGATGATTAAATAAGAAAATAGAAGATCTTTCTTCAAAGCCTAAGAGCATCTTATATACTCCTCATAATAAATTTAAGCACATATCCGAGCAAAGAAAGCCTATATCCTTTAGGACTGAAGAAGAGAGTGAAGCTTTAATCAAGAAATCTTCCAAAATTCCTATAAACTTTGTACGTTTTGGGAACAAAATGTGGAAAATCAATAGGCCCAATCTCAAAAGCAAGTTAATACAACAAAAGACTGAAGCGTTGAGTCCTGAACCTCGCCCTTCAACATTTTTCAGTCTAAAAGATAAGACGAGGAAAGCAATAAGCCCGAAAGTGTCGAATTTTGCACCAAAATATAGCTTCTCAGTTGATTCATCTGCTTGTGAAACAGAATCTTCCATCTGTTCAGACATTGAAATTCAAGAAGAACTTCTCAAGAAACGATCAAACATGGCTAAAAAGAGATGAGCAAAGAAATCTCTCTTCTGTAATTCCCCACCTATTCCTAAAGAATTCAGAAATGATATTATCAACAAAGTTATTTAAGAATATTCTAGTGAAGAAGTCTAAACTTAGTGTACCAGAAAAAGAGGCAAAGATGCCAATTAATGTTCAAAAAGAGCTTAGCCTTGGTTATATTCACAAACAAAAGCTAAAAAGGACTACCATAAATAATCTAACTAGGTATTTCTGAGACACTTATTCATAGTTTGAGCCTTATTGGAAGGAATATTGGAAAAAGTCAAGATCCTTCAGCTGTTGAGGTTATCCCTCTATCTCCCCAATCAAAGTGGTAAGTCTTGTATGGATTACAAATATTCATCAATCCAACTGCTTAATAGAAAAAGTCTTCTTATCCATCAGTGCTTTATCTAATAGCCTTGCTCTTTAGAAGAAAAAGAAGGCCAAGAAATACTCTCAATGACCAGATAGTTCACTTATGGAAAAGTTCTTAACAATAGAGCCAATATATCTTCTCATAAAGTCATTGTTTCACCTAATTCTTCAAAAAAGAAAAGTTCTCTAGTGTTTTTAAGCGGCTCCTCAAAATAGCAGGAATATGAGGTTTATTGATCTGATCTGGGGTGCAACTAAGTTCAGATATGTAGAGATCAGGTTTATGATAGAGGCTTTAGTGAGATAAATGCGCTTTTGTATTCATGTGTCCTGTTTAAGTTGAGACCTTTCACGAAACATCTGTTTATCTTAAATGCTTGTCAATCATGGGCATATTTATAGTTATCAATAAATTTTAATCCGATAGGGGTTTTGGGGTTTTGGGGTTTTGGGGTTTTGGGG